CACAATGCAATTGAGATTCTCGATGAACCGACCACGGTCAACCGTGTCCGGTTTCATTCAATAATCAAAAGTCAGGGATTCACGTATCCCATCCCTCAAGCGTAGATTCGTCATCGAGTCGAAAATCAAGTGCGCCTTGCTCTCGGAGTATTTTCCTTATCGCTAACTCAGTGCCTTCATTGGATAGGAAAAATCCCAGAAGCATAGGCCACATTTTGGTGTCAGAAGTGGTGGAACCAGCGCTCGAGCTCACAAGCTCTCGCATCCACTATCATCTCAACGAAAGATCCGCCCAAGGAAATTTCACCAACCTCAAGTGAGACTATCATCAGTGCTCACGCACACGAGGCACGGCCAGCTCTCCACTGGATCAACGAGTCAACCTCGACATCAAACCGTGACCCCATACAGTCTTCAGTGCGGGTTCAATTCGTCACCTCGAGTAAATCCGAAGACTGATCAGTGCCTAGTATCCGTTCAAAAAGTCCCGAAAGATCATCAAAAATGTCTTCGACTCCACCGGAACAACCCAACGCCACAGGCGATGCTCGAGAACAGGATCAATTCACATCAGCATTCCGTGAATACCGTGAACCAGAAAATGAAGGCGCGGCAGCCGAAGCAGAAAACTCATTCTTTGAAGAAACAGACAACATCTCAGAGTTCATGAACCAAGAGTCGGGGACGACTACCGAGCGAAGCCCAGTGTCAAACCAAACACAGGGTGCTATCCCGAGAACAACTCCAGAAATAGTTCAAAGACCGGAACCTCAGCCAGGCCTGATCGCAACCTTTAGCGACAGATTCGCGAGATCCGACCTGTCTACGGGACGGAATTCGCGTGCAGTCTCCCCAACACCAATGTCAGATTTACGCGCCAGCTCGCCAAACCCAGTGAGACCGTCCAGATTCCTGACAGTGCCAACCCAAGGGTCGAGCCAAGAGTCAGGAGGACCACCGACGCGACAACAAACGAACGGAGCCACAACTATTATACAGCGAACGAGGAATCCAGTACGCAATACTGAAAACACGAATCAGAGCCTACATCCAACTAGCAAACAGTTGCTACGTGGAAAACGAAATCCCGAGCATAACGCTGGCAAGGATCGACCAACACAAGGCAGAACTCACGGAGCTACAGAATAGATGGGCGATTTCATTGGAGAACCGAGCGGAAACCAGCATCGACGTAGACCTACTGGAAGAATACATAAATGTAGAGACGGACATGAAAAACGCAGTGGTGTACCTCACAGCACTGCGCCAATTCGTGACCGCCCAAGACCAATCGACCAACGTCGACTCTTCATTCCTATCCACGAGGAACGAATCGAGTCGAGCCGGAATCCAAACTCGGAATCAACAAGAACGAAGTGCCGCACCACAGCCTCAGGAAAATCAGGAGAGTGCACAGCAACCAGGAAACACATCGGAGTGGCCACAGACGCCGGAACAGATCAGAGTCGAGAATGCAAACGTTTCACTCACATCTACTCTGAATCGCAACGGCACGCCCAATCGATCGATACAACCTATTCCCGAACCAGATGTTATCAGGGGCGAAGCAAACAACAGCAATAACCCGCTTCATCGGACGGCAACACCAGCCCCATCGGAACACCGAATGGGCACGGCCCTAGCTCCTGAAGAAGAACCATCAGGACAAATACCGCCCTCAGCACCGGCATTGGATCCAAGTCAGAACACCTCAGAGGCGAACTTCGGATTCCCACCACTGGCTTTCAACAGCACCCGAAACAACGCCGACGAAACCGAAAACCCGGAGAACTACCTTCCGAAACTCAACAAAAACCTGAGACTCCCAAGGTTTTCCGGGGACGTAAAAGAATACCAGAGCTTTATCAGAATGTTCGACACATTCGTGCACAACCGAAGGATCCCGGATCTTCAGAAACTAGTGTTGCTCAGAAACGCCTTAAGCGGACGAGCATTCGCCTGTGTGAAACACCTCAGCATCCAGCCCCAAAACTACGTGCCAATGAAGGAACTGCTCCATGAAGTGTTCGGAAACCGCAACATAGCAGAGGACAGCCACTTGCATCGATACGGCTCACCATAGATGGTTATTGATCGAGACCGTGACCGCGCCAGCGAAGGTGAGAACTTGCCAGTGGCGGCGGCACAATGTCTCTCCGGATCGAATCGAATGGTTTTCCTGCGCATGCGCCAACTCTGTCATTCGGCTGTCGCTTTTCCTTGCGAGTGCTTGCTCTCGGATTAACTTTATTAGATGGAAATAATGATAGATTATGAATTATGAAAATGGTACACTGATAATATTGGAGATGATAATGGTTGTGCCCTTGGCAGCGATCTTGCGTATAGAGAAACCTGTTGAATATGTCGGTTAGCATATCAATCCGGAGGCCGTGAACGTCTGTACATGTTGTGTAGGTTTTGCGCAACTAGTCCCAGAGGGACTGTTCGTCACAGAGGCCGTTCCATAAAATGGAGCTTCTCGGCGCTATGCTCGATCCCGAGATCAAGAGCATATCGAGTATCAAGACCGAAAATCCAGAAGGGAATGCAGCGAAACTTCTGCTCGATGCAATCCACGAGTACACCGAAGTGACAGGAGCCGACGACGAGATAACCATTGTACCCGACTCTCCTGCTAAAAAACAAAAGTCTTCGCTAATCACGAAGTACATGACGTGTCCCTGTCCGACCGACATCGTGTCCGATGAAGTCGCTCGGTATCTCTCACTCCCGGTTTCGCAGCTAGCTCGCATGGTTCTACCCATTCCGGTGACTTCAGCTGAGCCTGAAAGGCGCTTCTCCTCAGCGGGAAACTTTTTGCGCGAAAAGCGATGCTCGATGAATCCTTCGACGATGGCAAAAAGCCTCTTCATACACGATAATCGAGACCTTCTGCAGACCTTCATCAACATTCATCAACATTCATCAACATTCATCACCATTCATCACCATTCATCACCATTCATCACCATTCATCAACATTCATCAACATTCATCAACATTCATCAACATTCATCAACATTCATCAACATTCATCAACATTCATCAACATTCATCAACATTCATCAACATTCATCAACATTCATCAACATTCATCAACATTCATCAACATTCATCAACATTCATCAACATTCATCATCATTCATATGAGATCCGCTGGGGCAACCATAAATTGCCGGCGAATGGAGGAAGGGGAGAGTCGCTCTACTTGAAAAACCAAATTCGATTAAGGGCGATCTCACCACTTACAGACCGATCTGTGTATCTGACGTCCTGTACAGAGCTTCCACAAAAATTGGGGAAACACACACAACAATGGGCGGAAGATACGGAACAGCTCTCGGAGAGGCAGAATGGGTTCAGGAAAGACCGTCAGGGCGAGGATAACATTTTTATCCTAACATCAGCGATAGAAATCGCACAAGCACAAAAGACGGGCCTGATTTGCGTGTTTCTGGACGCCACAAAAGCGTAAGATCGAATAGATCGAAGGAAACTGTGGCAAACATTGAAGGAGAGAGGCATGAGTCCGTCGATACTCGAACTCTTGGAACACCTGGACGAGGAAACCTGTATCTTTGTATGACACGGTGAGTACACCTCGGAGGAAGTATCCATCCCTATTGGACTTCGGCAAGGGTGTCCCCTATTTCCCATCCTCTTCAGCCTACACACCGCGGACCTCGAAAAACAGCTCCTGGAAACGGGACTGGGGTTCAGATTTGCGAAAAAGGGCAATTTCTGGGATGTAAAGGAGAACAAATTCTTTTTAGTCCCCGGAATACTCTTAGCCGACGACCTATGTCTGATGGCAAACAAGATCGGCCATATGAGAGCTCTTCTGGAGATAACATCCAAGTTTGGCGACAACCGGTCCATCAAATTCAATCCCCAGAAGAGCGGAGTGATAGTCTTCTCGCGACCGCCCTCAACACATACGCACGATCAGGGCCTCACGATACACGGGAGGCAGATCCCAGAAGTAGAATTCTACAAATATCTGGGAATCGAGTTATCGGCCGAAAGGGACTACCTATCACAACACTGGGATGAGGTAACCAGGACGGCGAACAAGGCAATCCGACGACTCAACGCGAGAACGTAATGGAGCTTCAATAGATTCGAAGTATCCAAAATTCTCTGAAAAGCCACTGCAGTACCGCAACTCACCTATTGCAACGCAAAAATAACTATGCCGAAGAGACTGAGAAACCTTATCGAAGTCAGGCAGAGAGATGCGGGAAGGTGGGCCCTTGGCATACCACAGTCCACAATTTCGAGGTAGTTTACTGAAGGCGAACTCGGATGGAGTTCCTTCGAGGCAAGAGAGGCCACGAGCAAAACGATGTTGTCGGGATGAACAGAATTGGAAGCTGTGAATCCTCAGACTCGGTAGCGTCGTGTCGGTGTGACTCATGGGTGGCCCCCAAGATATTGTACGGAGACTCATCCAGCCTATGTATGTAGGTAAGCATGGTAAAGAAGGTGGAGCTCGCCCCACCCTAACTCTTATATAAGGAGGATACAATCCGAATAAACTTTACTGTGGTGTCTCCCCTCTTGTGAGACTGTACTCCTGTTAGTTCACTTCACTCACTGAGCTAGTGTGTTTCCTCACTATCCGACCTTTCCTTCAACCAGCCTTTGCAAAGCTGTTCCAACGCCTTATCAGCACGAATTACCTCTTACCAACAATTGGTCAGTGCTCCGTGACCGACCGGTGACGTCGGGAAACAACTCCCAACAAGGTAAGCTGCTTACTCCTACCTAAGGGTATTGGGGGTGCGGCAGAATACAGCTGCTGTCAAGTTTTCATTTCGGCGAATGCAAAGTGCTCCGGAGATCGAGGATTTCGAGTTTCCCTCAATCCCGTCTCAACTAACCTTGCCAATCATGGCAAACGATACAACAAGCGGATCTGGTATGCACCAATTACAAAATGTGCGACTTGCGGATGATGGTCGGAATTGGCTCTCTTGGCGGACGTCGGTTATCGCGGTTCTACAGAGTATTCCTAATGCACTCGAGGCTGCTAAGGAAGAATTGCCCTTAAATGACCCTCTTTTTGAGGCCACAAACGCGTCGGCCAAAGCCAATATTCTCAATACGATTTCCCAAACTCTTGTATCTGCCTATTCCCGCATCGATGCGGAATCGGTGGCTGCTGATGATATCTGGAAAAAGCTGGAAAGCCTCTATGGTGGCAAAGATACCACCTCTCAGGGAACAGCTCAATTGAAACACGATCGATTTACATATGATACCTCCAAAACGGTTGCGCAGAATCTCATGGTCTTGGCTCAGATGACTATGTCAGGCGTAGTGGTCTCACAGAGGCCGTAGCCTGTCAGAAGCTCTTGGGTCCTCTCCCACCTTCATGGGAGTCCTTACTTTTGTTCTGGTCTGTTAAAAGTGGAGACGAGCAGACTCTACTCAAACTTTATCAATTAATGCAAAGTCAGGAAACTCAGCGAATCACCGCTGCTGCTGCTAATGGCAATTCTGATCCCTCTGCGATGTTCTCAAGCTCTCGATTCGTAATAATCGATTCCGTCAGAATAAGCGTAATTTCGATCGTAACTCTGACCGGCGTTCAAATGGCAATCGCAGCAGTTTTAAGTGGGTGGAGACCAGCGGCTCTCCGCGCTCGGTGAGGGCCGTGTAGACTTGGAGGTGTGCTCTTCCGATGGGGAGACCACCCTCCTCAGCCTGTCCTCGGCACTTCATGTGTACATATGAGCAGAGTGAGGAATATTCTGGATGACTTAGCGAACGTTCCAAGAACGAAGTCCAGAACGAGTAGTTTTATTCTTAATTGCGGCTCCTTATATAGTGCCCTCAAAAACGATGTGGGTCATGCGCATTATACTCGTAACACCCCCACTTGCGCGTGACCCCCTTGATACCGGAAAATTCAACACAGTCCCAACTTCTCTCGACAGAACTTGAACTTGTCCGTGGGTAGACTTTTCGTAAAAACATCAGCAATCATTTCTGCGGTGGGTATATGCTTGATAACAATCGATCCTTCAGCAACGAGCTCTCGGATGAAGTGGTGACGAAGATCGATATGCTTCGTTCGTTTGTGTTGAACTCCATTATCACTCAAGAGTCTGGCGCCTTGATTATCGCACCAGAGAATCATTGGTCGCGCTATGTCTACAGTGGGGAGTTCCGTGAAGTTCAGGAGCCACTTGATTTCCTGACAGGCCGCAGAACATGCCATGTACTCCGCCTCCGTTGATGAAAGCGCCACGGTTGGTTGCTTTCTACTTGACCAGGAAATGCATAGCCCGTCGTCGATTTCCTACAATCATGGCAACCACCCCAATCCGCATCAGAGAAAGCGACAAGACTCCCCTGAATGCCACCATCGAACTTCAAGCGCAGGGTCAGGGTACCCTTCAAGTACCGCATGATTCTCTTCACCAGGGTCCAATGCACCTTCGAGGGGTCCGAGCAGAATTGACTTGCCACACTGACAGCATAAGTGATATCCGGACGAGTTGTCTGTGAGATATAAATCAGGCATCCCACGGCTTCTCGGTAGGGAGCATCTGTCAAGTCTTCTTGCTCCGACCGTTTCACGTATTTCGCTCCAGATTCCACGGGTGTCCCCGCCGGGCTACATTCTGTCATCCGGAACCTTTCCAGGAGTCGTCTTATCCCTTCAACTTGGTCCAGAAAGATCGTTCTCTCCTCGGCCTTCTGCTCAATCTTGATGCCAAGACAGTATCTGGCCTGGCCTAGATCTTTTATCCCAATCTCGTGGCTATCTCAGATTTGAACTCGACGTCGTTCGTGAATATCAAGAAATCGTCTACATAAATCGTCAACACGATAATCTTGTCTCCACGCGTCGACCAGTAACAGCAACGATCGGCACCGAATTCCTTCAGGCCGAGCGACTTCAGGGCCCGGTTCAATGTCTCGAACCACACCCTGCCTGCTTGTTTCAACCCGTAGAGAGATTTCTTCAATATGCACACCTTGCTCTCTTCCTGAAACATAGCAGGTTGCTCCATATATATCTCTTCCCGTAACTCACCGTGGAGATATGCAGTTTCCACATCGAGCTGGTATATCCTCCAACCGAGACTCGCTGCCTGCGCGAAGAGGAAACGGAGCGTGGCGATTTTTACTACTGGAGAATAGGTCTCGTCGAAGTCTACTCCTTTCGTCTGCCCGAAACCTCTTCCGACGAGCCTCGCCTTGTACTTCGTCACCGCCCCCTCACTATTCCTTTTCAACGCGAAGACCCATTTTGAAGAGATGACGTTCCTATCCACCGGTCGATCCACTAGAACACATGTACCGTTCTTCTTGTGGGCAGCCATCTCCGTCTCCATCGCCTCTCTCCATTTCGCAGCATCCTCTCTAGTCATTGCTTCTTGTACCGTCGACGGGGAATCACAACTCGACAGCACGTTTTGTGTCATCGGTGGGAAAACGCAGCTCGATGTCCCGCTCTTCGAATCCACGGCGCTCCCCGAGCAGCCTCCGTCTGCGCTCCCAGCGCAACCAACGCTCTCAGCGTTCGAACCTCTTTCCACGCGCCCAGCGTTCGAACCTCTTTCTACGCGCCCAGCGCTGCCCACGCTCCCAGCGTTCAAAACTCTTTCCGCACTTCCAGCGCTACCGACGCTCCCAGCGTCCGAACCTCTTTCCGCGCTTCCAGCGCTACCGACGCTCCCCGTGTCCGAACCTCTTTCCGCGCTTCCAGCGCCGCCAACGCTCCCTGCGTTGTCATCTGCACTCCAAGTCATCGCGTCGGGGCTCCCGGCGCGCTTGGTTTCCCCGGAACCGGACACGCTTGCCCGTGCCGCATGACCATCCTCCAGAACATGCGATGCCATGATGGATTCATCGAAGATGACATCTCTCGATTTCTCCACCATATCCAGGTCATCCAGTGGGATCAGTCGATAGGCCTTCGAGTCTGGACAGTATCCTACGAATATACACTTCCTCGACCTCTGGTCCCATTTCTTGCGCTTCACCTTCGGTATGAGCGAATAAGCCAAGCAGCCGAATATGCGACGGAAATTAAGGTTTGGCTTGACCCCGGACCATGCTTCTTCCGGACAAATCATATCGAGTGCCGCAGTGGGACTCCAATTCTTCAGTTTACAAGCTGTCGAGACTGCCTCTGCCCAGAAGCTCTCATCCAGACCGGCATCCGTGAGCATCGCCCTTGCCTTCTCAGTCAATGTCCGCAGTGCCCGCCCATTCTGTTCCGGGCAATATTGGACTGTGGTTTCGTGCTTCATACCGTTCTCCGATAGGAAAGTTGAAACCTTCCTATTAACATATTCGGTACCGTTATCCGTTCGGAATTTCTTCACCTTCATGTTCGTAGCTCGCTCACCGTGACGGACGTACTCCACGATTTTCTCGAAAGTTTCTGACTTGTCTTTCATAAACGCCACCGAAGTCATTCGAGTGGAATCGTCAACGAATACTATGAATACCTGTGACCGCCTCTGCTCGTTTTATTCATTGGTCCGCAAACATCACTGTGGACCAAATCCAGTTTCGACCTCGAGATCGACTCTGACCGGGAGAACTCTTTCCTCCTCAGTTTTCCACCCGCACATGGCCAGCAGACCGGTCTCTGATCGGGGACTTTGCATTTTACACCCGTGGCCATTCCCATCGTTAATTTCCTTATGTCTCCAGAGTTCAGATGACCTAACCTTCTGTGCCAGAGTCATATGATTCGCGTACGGACTCCGGGGTCATGAGGGCTCGCGCATGACAAGTGTCCAAGAGATAGAGATCGCTCCGGTTGGTGCTGGTGGCCCGAGCACACACGGCACCTGTCCCATCTCGTATTTCACATTTCGAACCTCCGAACGAGATATTGAAACCTTTTTCATCCAACTGTTTTACTGATATCAAGTTGACGGACAGGCCAGGTACGTAGAGAACATCACACAACTTGGTGTGTTGGAGCTTCCCATCCAATAGACAATCTATGCCAACATCGCCGACTCCAGCCGACTCAAGGACATCATCAATCGCTGTTTTTACCTTCTTAGGACGTACCCCTTCCCTGAGTTTGTGGAATAATTCCATCTGTCCTGTCATATGAGAACTTGCCCC